AACCTAGATATCAAGAAGTATACTCACATACAATAATTAAAAGAGACCTTATATCTTTTAAAAGGAATACTTTATACAGACTTCTAGCGGCCAGATCTGGACATGGCGACTTTGCCAGATACTATGAACGCTTTAGGCATACAGACTCGAATGATCACTGCAGCTGTGGTAAAAAAAAAACACCACAACACATTTTCTTTTGTAAGAGGGTGGGGAAAAACTGGCTGCTGCCTAGGTACTCGCCTAGGACAGCTTGTTTATAATACTTAGGGGAGAGGAACACAGAATGGGCAAAATTCGTGGAAAAGAGCAAGTTCTTTTCAACAATCTGTGACGGCTGTGGCGGCCTGCACAGACCTTCCCACATGACAAGTGGATACCTCCCAATAGGGGAAGGATCTGACCAGAGGATCCCCTTAAAGGGGCAACCTCCCACTGTACCTATCTCTCTCTCTCTCTTCCTTTCCTCTCTAGTCTTGATATTCTCGTCAATAGAGTAATAGCTGCTTGCTGCCGGCCATGTCCCAGCTCCTCAGTACGCTCGCCGTGACACAATCTGCCCCCGATAGATAGCTTTTCTTGAAGGACCAGATGGATGACCCCAAGGTCATCCCGCCGCAACAACGGGGATGGGCCCGTGAGCGGGACTGACTGTACTTATTATCTTGAGACCTCCACAACCCTGCGATACAGAGGCTCTGGGAGGCGTGGTTTGCACTACTGAGGAGCTATCCCCCACGTTAAATACAATCAATCAATCAATCAATAATTAAAACCGATACCAATGTATTGTTCCCATTTGCAGAGCCACGTTCCCGCCTTGCCAAGGGGATATTGGCGAAGATTCATCCTTGCTAGAAATGACAGTAATCGCTCTCCTTCCCCCGTGATATGGTTTCTCACGGGGATGATGGGGATGGGTGGGGATGGGTGGGGATGATGGGGATGATGGGGATGATGGGGATGATGGGGATGGTGGGGATGGTGGGGATGGTGGGGATGGTGGGAACGAACTCGCCAGTCCCGTGCTGAAGAGCAGACTCGAAGTCCCGTCGTCAAAAACGAGCCGATAGTACAAGCGCAGCAATATGCAACATTGGCTTCAAGCCAGGACAAGCCTTTGTGAACAGTCGCCCTGAACCAGGCAGCAAACAACACCAAGGAGGCGAAGTTTGACACCCCTTTCGACGAATTATTAAAGGTAATACATACAGCCAGAGCAAGGTGCAAAGGAGTCAGTGGCCGCTTTCAAGGTCCAACAAGACCGGATAATAAGCAGAACAATGCATCTACCCCCTATCCATACTTACCCATGGCACTTTAAGGAGTTCGTGAGCTAGATAAGTACACGTATATACTGATTGAAAACTTTCAAATTCTGTGCCTTCTGTGCGTATCGCAATTTTCTGTTACGTGGCGATAAAACTGTTAGATTTTACTGAGAATAATAACTACAAAAAGAGTGACTGGCCCCAAGATGACCCCTAATGGCACCCCTTACTACAGTTGCAGTGGCTTAGATAGCTTTCAAGGGGACTCAAAATACCAGGAACTTAGCAGGGGTTCAATAGCCGCTATATCTCCCAATTAAGGCATGGCCTTCCAACCTTTGGCCGATAATCTAGGCTTGACCTAATCCATCCCTCCCAAACCAAACTGAATCTCGGATTCCCGTGTGCATGCTGGCGGCTGATGAAAGGAGCTCGGGCTAGAGCATCTGCTTGAGTACTCCATACTCCTCTACCTATTCTTATGAGCTCCCAGTAAAATAGGTAATCTACAAAGAGAGTAGGTTGGTTGTTGCGTGGTCAGGTGACCCACTTAGGCTGGCATATTGCCCACATCCACTGCAGCTGCGCACCACCTCCAGACCTTCAACAACAACAACAGCAACAGCACCAATACAGCGGATTTGCATCCTTTCTGGCCTTCTTGCTGTGCAACAGAAATCAAGCCATAAATAACAGGGCTTCTAAGTCGAATGGCCAGCATCGCTCTCATAACCGCAGGAAGGAGACTCAAGACTAGACCGCCGATAATGCCCTAACTGATCACTCGACGGAACGATTTGATAGTAGTTGAGTGCACCAGAGTTGGAATGGTTTGGAAAAAGTTATTGATTTCGCTGTGCTCTCAGTCACTTGCCATGCAAACTCAGTCCGAGTCGAGGGGATTAGCACGAGGCTACGCTTCTCGGTAAGTATCTCGAACCCACCTAGCTCGCTACGGTTACGCCTACCTTGCGCGACCTATTCCTTCGCCGTACATTTCGCTTCAGACACGCATGGGTAGTCCTTACAGCGCGCGCCTTCACTGGCGCCGCTACGTCTCTGAGTGACCCAATTCAGCTAATAACATTGCTATAGAAAGTCCCGAGCCTAAGAGGCCATCATCAGGAGCCCAACATACACCTCCACCATACTAGCAACATGGCCCCGAGAAAAAGGAAGAATGTGGCCAAGTGGGGAAGGGGCCGACCGCGGACTGAGCGTACGGGAAGGCGCGGTCGCTCACGCAAGTACTCGGCCCAATCCGCTCCTCAGTTGTCTCTCCACGCGACAGACGACAAGCAGGACAATCAGAATGAGGAATCGCTCATTGTCTTACCCAGAGGAAAACCCCGTCCTTGCAAGGTTGCGTTGTTCAAGGAGAGACATAAATCAGCCGGTCCAGATTCTGAATTGACCCTTTCTAATGGCGTCCAAAAGGGGCACCCCGGCGAAGTTGCCAGAGCAGCCGTCGATTCGGATCATGTTTTGAGAGTGGCATCGCCCCAGAGAGTAACATTAGGACGCCGCTTTTACGAATCTGCCTTGGCAGCGGTAGCCGAGCACCCTGATATCACATCCAGCAAGCAAAAGGCACTACTGTGACGCATGTCTGTAGCTCTCATAAGATCTACGTCATTAACTTTGGTTATTAAATTCCAGGACGAACATGTATTGCTGGGATTATAGTTGGTGGGTAGATCTATCGTCAAACTTATTTCAGCCTTTACAGCGCTATTTGCTTCGCCAGTGCTGCCCTTGAAATGAATGAAGTCGGTGTCGTAAGATCTACTGAGAAGAGTATTGTCACTATTACGGCAGACGAGTCTAAAAAGGTCGTCAACATGGCCTTCACTGGCTGTCTTGCAAAAACAATGTCACCTTTTTCGGCTGCTTCAGCTTCATGATGGCGGCTCCATCATGTTTTGAATGAAAGTTTCACGGCTCGGCCGAAGCCACCGCCAGCACTGCAATGGCATTTGAGATTACATAAAGTATCACTCTGGACATGGTGGCGAAGAACTGTCGGGTCTCCGAGAAGCGTAGCTACTGCCTCGGGGTCTCGCACGGACTGTATTCACTGGCCGAGAAGATGAAGAAAGAGGTTGTGCTAATCATGAGCCTAGAGACTCAGGTACGACAGCACCACCAACGTCATGAAGAACTGGTTGGTCTAATGCACATTGGACGCAACTCCGAGGAGCACGAGCACGGCTCGAGGTTGGCTCGCAGTGTTCAAGAGCTGAGAGGCTGGGAACAATCGTGCAGTTTCGGCCAGGGACGCCGTTCGAGATTAGATGAAGCACCACACGTCCAAGCATGTAGAAATAGAGCTCAAGGTACGAGATTTGGATTACCATCCAGAATCATGATCTCCTCGCCCTCCCTTATGGTTGGCCTTCTAACAGTTTGTTCTGCCTTTAACCAATAACCTTACGATCACAGCTTCAATTGCTGCTCCAGTCATTGCCTCGTGTTCACATACCTCAGCTCCAGCCTCCAGACTCCTGACTCCTCTTGCTTACGGGTCGTTATTATGCGAGCGCTGATTCAGCTCTTTGTTCACAGACGATCACTGCCTCCAGCCTCCAGCCTCAGTCTCAGTCTCAGTCTCAGTTTCAGGTTCTTTGTTCACACGAAAAGTCATCTCAGGGCCAACCAATCACAGGATATCACGCCTCACACCTCGCGTTCACAGACCTCATGGACCTCAAAAAATCAAGAAAAATCAAAGGAAGATGGCGCTGACGCTGAAACACGCCGTGCTGCCGGTAATGGCGTTGAATCCGATGTCAGGAGACGCGCTGAGAGCACGAAAAAAGGATACGTTGGAGCCTTTTTCTCCCTCGAGCAGCATCTTGACAACCCACTTGTTATCATTCGGTACTCACACGATCTTCACTGAAACAGACCCTGACCCTGACCGTACATTGGCAACCTCATCCAACAACACTGACACCTTTGGGACCGCCGGTACGGTGCCCCTCAGCATCGAGGCTCTCCTCGACGGCAGCTGACCATCTGTGCTTCAAGTGTGCCTCCAGCACAATATTGTCGGTTGATTTTCGCCCCTTCCAAGGCGCGATCCTTGGTGACAACAGCGCGAACTCTCAGGCGAGACTGATCTTTGCGAGATGTCACGCCACTTGGCGAAGCAAATCTAGCAATGCTGATGGGACGAAATCCTCCTGACCCCCAACCTCGCTGCTAATAGCTCCTAGCTCGTCGCAAAAGAGCCGTTGGAGTGGCTCTCTCCACTGCCACGGCCACATCAAGCATAACCACTGCCTTTGCTTTCCCAACAATCCTTTGGTATAGGAGACACCCAGCATGATCGTGCTTCAAGCCTAAGCTAAATCCACGTACAAACACCTTCGCTGGCCCGTAACTTAATAGTGTGGCACGTCTGGCCTGCCACCATCACCAGCCACATAGTACAATATCAGATATATTCCTGGTTACCGCAACCGACCAGCCCCCTGTTAAAACAAAACACCCTGAAGCCTACCAGTTTCCGCTCCTTCTCATGCAGCCTGGGTCTTAGTCTATATGTCCGAGCGACGGCTGAAAATCAGACGTCGCAAATCAAACGAATACCCAATTAAATTATACTTCTACAGGGAAAGTATCCTAAGCCCTGTTACCTCCTTCCCAGCACTCTCCAGCTAGTTATCAGGGGAGTCTAGATCCGGAGAGGATATCTCAGGGTAGTCAGGGCAGGGAAGGTTGACGTCACATCACAAACCCCTCCTCTACAAGCCTATTAATATCCCCGCCAGCAGCCCGCACGGCCTTCAACGCCGCCTCGCTCATCTTCCGCCCCTTCTCCATGGCCTCTTTCTCGCGGCGCGTCCTCGTCGTGCTAGACCCGCTGGGCGCCACGCCCGCCATCAGCATATCCTTGTCAGATAGTGTGAAGTTGACAAACTCGATCCCACTGCCGCCCCCACCCATGCCCATTCCTCCACCCCCTCCAATAGACCCAAAACCGCCAGACTTCGAAGTCGGCGTGCGCGGCCGCCGCTTGCGCACCGAGCTTGAGTGGCTGCGCTGCTGCCCTTGCCCAAGCCCAAGCCCTGGCGGTCGCGCGTGTGGCGTCGGCGACGTGGATTCCTCGCGGAGGTACGCCCGGCTGCGGTGCAGCTTGCGCGGCGAGGTGAGGGAGCCGCGGTGGCGGGCGCCCGAGGACGGCGCGCGGGGGAGGGGTCGCCGCTCGCTGTGGCGGTTGTGGTAGTGGTGGGATGAGCGGGGAGTCGCTAGCGAGAAACGCGACGCCTGCCCTGAGAGCTCCGTGTTGTACTCATGGGGCAGCTCAGTTTGCTGCTGGTTGTACATCGAAACTTTGAGGGAGGCGTTGTTGCTGTGGGCGCCATTGGTGTAGTGGGTATTGTGGTCTGAATGGGCTGCATCGCCGTTATGGGTGGTGTCGGCGTGGTGTGTCTCCCACCACCGTGGACTCGGCATGTTGCCGCTGTCGGGGATATACGCTGCCGATGGCGAGGAAGAGTACAACAGGTTGGCGTCATCGGCGTCCTTGCTGTTGAAGAGACCCTCCATGGACCACTCGGCCGAACTCGTGCTCCGCTGTTGCTTTGGCTGTTGCTGGTAGGGACTTGTGTACATGTCCAGGGAGGCTATTGGATGTTGATAGAACAAGTCCCTATTGATTATCGGCGTGTTTATTGGCGTGTCGGTATTGTGATTTTTGGCCGGGTTGAGGACTGCGGGTGGTGCCAGTATGTCCTTACTGAAGGGGTCGTCTAAGTGGCCGCTCACAAAGCGCATGTTTCTAGACTGGTGTTCTTCAGGGATTTTACCTGTTGACAGTGGCGATAAGAGCAGATCATTGCTGTCAATTGGCGCCTGCTCCATGTCTAATATGTCCCTATTATAATCGTTGATGTCTAAGCTTTCAAGTTTATAATATGGTCTCATATCACCCTGAAATGCACCCATTGCTGTTATATTCGTCTGACCAGGCCTTTGCGGCTTTGGATAATGGGCAACATGCTGTGTTGTGGCGTGAACCGATTCGCGGAACTGATTGTGCTTGTGTGGATTCAAGAACTTTGCATTGTCGAAAGGTAGGCTTGGAAGTGCTGTAAGGTTCCCTTTTAGTGATTGTAACGAGATCCCCTCGAGGCGCAGGAGCTCCGAACCAGATACCGAACCAACATTTAATATCGGGTCTGCCGCCAGAGCTGTAAGTACTGCCGGACCGGAGTTGCTTTGTTCGGCTATCGTAGCATAAGGGGGTATCGTGAGATAATCGCTCGTAGCTGCGCTCTCTCCCTCAACTTCAAATTGTTTAAAGTGCAGCTCCTGGTTATTAGAGGACGAATTGGTCAAGTTACTGTCGATGGTGTCAAGGAGAATGGATGGACTAGGCGGATTTTCGAGAGGGTTACCGCCCATTAGTGATGGATCGCCAGAGTCAAAGCTGACAAACTGATCAAAGAAGTTGTCACTTGTTACTGCCAGCTCATTGTTGTCCTGCCGGTACGAGAACTGGCTCCCGTCGTTGTCCATTTCGTAGTGTACCGCTATAGAGGCTCAAATGTCGAGAAAAGGATAAATAAACAACAATTCTATCCTTGATGGGAGTTGAGTGGAGGGAACCCCATTATGTCCAGGGAAATGTAGGTAGAAACTTGCCAAAAAAAGCTCGAAAGTGGGAAAGATAACCGTTTACCTACTTTCGGCATATAAACCAATGAAACTTGAGCAGTTCTGCCACGGCAGCAGCAGGTATAAAAACAATGTGAACCACGTTGACGCTGAAAAGGCTACAGATAAATTATGACAGGTGCCCGTGGCAACGAGACGAACAATTGGGAGATTGTTTAGAAGAATGTGAATCAAGGCATTGAGTATGAGTCGGGACCAGGAGAAAAGACCATTCAACGGCCAGTCTTTTAAATATTTCAGCAGCAAAGTATGTCTCCCTCCACGCCGCCAGCAAAGTGGCCGAGTCCACCCACCCACTTGGGGCTTTTGCGCGCCATGTCGAGACGGCCCTTGAGAAAAGGAGCAAAGATACTTGAAAGAAAGAACCATGGCCGTTCTCGTCGAAGCAGAGTTATAATGAGATGCCTACCATTTAGCACACCAGATTTCTGCCGGGTGCGTTAGGAGGCAAAAGGCCCCTGGGACGTAAATTTATCTCCCCGAGGAATGGCCCATTATGAGATTCTTTAACAAACCAACTCGTGTATTTTGCCGACCAGCCCCGACCAGTATAGCTGCAGGCCTGATTGTCACAGTATTCTAGTGATAGCAGACCGACACCCCTGCTCCTAAAAAGGAATTTTGTACATATAAATTTGTGCAAGTTTATCCCTTGCTTGTGTTTCACCAGTGGCAACTAGGGAGAGCAAAGGCCATGCCCCTAAAAATGACTTGTCGACCATTCCTCGATTGTCAGCGACAGAAATGGGACAGGAGGGGAAAGTATAAAAAGCAAATATGTAAGTGGCGTACCTACGGCATGACCTGTGTAAGCAAAGGGGTAAGTGGAAGCATCAGAAAATTCCTCCAAGGACGTGCTCTTGTCTAGGGATCAATCGAAGAACATAACCTAGCACGGAAGCATTACCACTTGTTTCTGCTTTGCTTTTTTTTTTTTTCATATGTCGATGTCACTCTATCTTGAACGCCGCCTTTGGCATTCGAAACACTAATAGAGATGGGAAGACCGGGAGGCGCGGAAGTTTCACTTTACGTGTAGCCTTTCCTCGAAGTGTACCTTTGTTCTCTATTAATAGCTGTGTTTCACCTCATCTAAGCGAACGCAGTGGTAAGCTTACACTTGGGTACAATATTACAGGTCATCTCGCTTAGCAGCACAGGCCTACATTCCAGACCCATAGCTCGCGAAACGATTTTCTTTGTCTGCTTCTTTTTTTATAAGAAAGCCATGACAACAGTTACCGTATATGTTTCTAGATTGCCATTCTTCACCGAATATGTTTTGCGGCAACCCCATCCACTGCCAGGGAAACCATGGTGAACCTCATCAGATTATCAATACTACCCAATCATCCAGCCACACATTCCAGCCACAGTGCTTCAACCATCTCGTGTCTACCCCATTCATACAAGGCAATACACATACAGAACTTCTTTTCTCCTCTCGGCCATACGCACAGTTCTACGACAATGTCAATCAGACATTCAACGAAGCTCGGAAACAACTGGATGTTATTGCCCAAGATATCCAGTGGGGTACGCAAGACCACGAGAGACTCCAGCATGATAACGAGAGACTCCAACATGACAACGAGAGGCTCCAGCGTGACAAGGAGAGACTCCAGCATGACAACGAGATATTCCAGCATGACAACCGCCGGTTGGATTCAACTGTGGATCTTCTCGAAGGCAGATTAGCATATGCCAACATCCACATCAAACAACTCAAGTCGGAAAAGAAAAGCCTCTCTAAAGAACTGCGACTCTTTCGGGAAAATCAGGACCTAGTAAAGGTGGCTGGCTATATATCCTCGCAGTCCAAACCAAGTTCTTTGCCCGTCCTCTGCCAACTCATGCAGATGCATCTCGACCTCTACCCTAGTTATAGCCGGGATCAAGAATGTTCTGACGTGCAAGGGCCTGTGGCTGGTCAATGTTCGATATGCCATGAGCCAGGGCGCCGGATGATTCGCCTACCATGCTCCGGGAAGCATGAGTTTGGGGGGGCGTGTCTCAGAGCATGGGTGATGACGGATGAGAATAAAACGTGCCCACTATGCAGGGAGGCTATTCCGTCAGACTGGTTGTCGAGCCTTAAGTCTGGTGTTCTTATCACGAACGAGGTTATATTAGACTCGTGTGACTTAGAACGCGCGCCAATCGTCAGCTGAACTCCTTGAACCTCATGGACACATTGAGAAGAGAGACAATAAAAAGGCACGAATGAAGCCATAAGACTATGTCAGGTCGGGATATTTTCAATTAATTTATAATCAGTTTGAAAATTTCTACCTGCCATCCTTCTAGATGCTTCACGGAGCTCTGTCCCACATCGATCAAACGGGGCGTCCCCTTCACCCCTTTACCCCTTTTGTTGGATCCATACGATTCCAGCCTGCAAACCATCTATACAGGACCCACATATATGATTAGATAAGAGATTAGATACCAGATTGTGAGGATATTTAGCCAGACCTTCAAGTCCAGCTAGACCTCACAATCCAACCCATCAGCAACATCATGACTTTGACCTATACTCGAGTATTATGATTGATCGGTCAAGCCTGTTCCAACACCTTCACCCACCCCTTTACCCTCCACCCACCCCTACCTTTTCCCCGCGGGACGTTTCCACGTCAAGCAGATCGCCCAAGTCCCCTGCCTTGCTGCGTCAGCATTATCAGCATTACCCACGCCTAGCTGCAGCAAGACCCGTTCGAGGGACTTTTATCGACAATTTTCTGCATGTCCGGTTTATCCGGCGGCAAAGGGGGTATATGGTTAATGGCCTAATCCCGCGGGCAAAATGGCGTCCATGTATACTACCACCATTAGATCCATCTCTCAGCAGACGGGTCCGAAGCTTGTTTCTAAGACAAATGGGCCTTACTATTGCAACCGAAAATAGTTACAGCTCTTGATCTTCTTCCTGGTTATTCGGAACTTCCGGCTGGTCATGATCGGACCTCACGACCTCGGCGATCGACCGCGGCCTGTCCTCCGCAAGAGCTTCCAGCGAACCCTCTTTCACATGTGGGACGGCCGCCTCCTGTAGGACCCGAACTTAAACTCGAGCGCCTTAGCTCTATGGTCGGATTAATGATTCGATGAGTTGAAGCCGGCTCTGGCAGTAAACTTCTCCTAGTTAATCTAGAAACGATCAGCTGGTATCGTATGGGTTTATGCGTGGAATGAAGGAGCGAAATCTTGAATAGGAGTGAGTACCCTGGGCTTTGTGTCGAAGCATTCGTAGAGCTTGATGAGGGCCGCCATGTCGCGCATGGTGATTTGATAGGGGACCGAGCTTTAGATGCCATCTTCTGTTAAATCAGCAGGCGCAGTGTCAAATGTACGTATATGGAAGCATGAGTGTGGGTGTGGTGGGCGTTGGAGGAGAAGTTGACTCGGGGAGTGGGACGGCCCGATACGCAATCTGCCAAGTGAGCTTAGAGCACGTCTGAACCTCTCGGATTTGCAGAGAATGAGCAATAACTATGGCAAATAGTATCGGTTGTTTCCCTTGCCCTCTACGTAGATGCAGTTATGGTCTGACATAAGCTCCGAAGAACCTGTTGCTGCTGGCCTAGGTACGGCAGGTATGAAACCCGGCACTGTACCATTTGCACGGAATGGATTGGTTGCCCGCATCAACAATGAATTTATATAGGTGAACATACGCCTTGCGCTCTCTAACCAAAATCCGATTCGAGTGACCCACACACGTTTACACATTTCGTGAACACAATCTTCCAGCTCCGTTTGCTTTCTGTCAGGATTATTCTCATTCAATAGTCTATTCAATGCCCTCCGTCTCAGCAGTCCTCGAGAATCGCACCTTGGCGATGCCATCCCGACGGCTTGCGCCCATTGGCTGGACAGGAGGGTGCACAAAAGACCCGAAGCCATGCCGCATTGTTCCGTGAGAAGGTATGTTCGACCCTTGGCTCGGCAGTGGCGGGAGTAGCATGCATAAGAAATTTGCTTAGGCTGCACATGCACAACACGCATAACACTAACACTTTTTATGCTGTGGTGGGGCAGGAGTTGTGGATTCCAAACGCTCGCTCATCCATCCCATCACGGCTACTCACGGTTCCCATCACGCCTCCCATCACAGTTCCCATCACGCCTCCCATCACGCCAGGAAAGCATGCACAGCCGGGAAGAGCTTTGTGGGCGCCCCAAGTGGACGACTCAGAATGGCAGGATTGCTGAAATCATTCTTGTGCATTGCTGACGGACCACTCGTTCCTCTCGCGTCTGCGTATAGACGAGTACACTACCGCTTCACAGTCCATATCATTGTAGTATCGAGCGGAGCCCTTAGTGTCACATTTAACCGTAGGATCCCTTCCACAACAAACACTCTAATCATCGAAATTTCTTCTACCGGCGGTCTTCACTACCGAGGACCTGGTCACGTGGTATTAGTCTTCATTGTTTTCCCATCCGCCTACTTTCTAACCGTCCAAGGTATCGGTGATGGTAGAAACCGTGACTCGAACGAAACGCGTGGAATTGATTGATGATTGATTGTATTTATCGTGGGTGCAGTCCCTCCACAGGGCAAACCACGCCTTCCAGAGCCATTGCATCGCAAGGTTGTAGAGGTGTCAGTCTAGATACATTCAGATCCGCGCACGAGCCTATCCTCGCTGTAGCGGTACCAACCTGGAGTGACCAGATGGTTTTAGTCAATATCCAAGCACGATTCCGTCAGAAAAACCTCCTGTCCAGTGACAAAACGACCCAGTGGACCTCAGTCCTCTGGTGTACACATCGTTCTAGTAGCCGTTCGATATATGTCGCATTGGTGGATGAAGTAGGTATTTGTTATCTGT